TATGTGTAAAAGATTTTACATCAAAGCTTTCAGTAGGAAACAGCACGAGTACAACACTAGAAAACGTTCCTACACAGAAGTTAATTATGGAACTCAAGAGATCCTTCCTGCATTCTAATGATAACCACAGAATCACACAACTCTGTGTGTGTGTGTATATATATATATATACACAATCAGTCTTATGGATAAGTGGGTTTGGAAATCAAAGTAAATTTAGGGGCAAATTACTTTAAACTGAGTCTTTGTGATGCCATAAAGAAGTGAAAGACAGACTACTAATATAATACTAACTTAAATTTGATGTATGCTTACTACTTCTTACACAGTACCAAGTGCTTTAAATATATTACCTGATTTAACCTTCAAAATGACCCTGCAAGTTAGAAATTGGTATCCCATTTAATAGATGAGGAAACCATGACTTGGAGGGGTTAAATCCTTCATTCAAAGTCACCTGGGGAGTAAACTGCAGAGCCAGAATTCAAACTTGGTCTGTCTGACCCCAAACCTGAACCCTTAGAATGTATATTCTACTGTTTCAAAGAGCCATTATTAATGCAGGTCTCTCCAGTGACCATTACTATGTGGTATCAACAAATTATTTTAACCAGGTGTTTTAAAAATTCAATAACTGTGCCTATGTAAATAGTTCATATGAAAATAATTGATCCAATCCAGATTTCCTGTCATTTCAAGTTGGTGCAACAGAAATCATGTTGGTCCCAGACACCTGAGAGAGGAGTAAGTAGATTAGGAGAAGCCTATGAGAGACGGCTGTGGAGGTCTCAACAGGAAACTGCACAAGAATCGGCCAAGGCAAGTTTATTTTATTCTGACTAAATAGCTCAGATACTAAGGGAGATTAATATTTCCAGTCCAACGTTAAATGTAGGAAAACTCACTTGCTCGAAAACTGGACAAGAGATAGGTTAGAAGTTTTGAACATTGAGCTTGTTTTATGGAAACCAGCTTTTGGAAACTAACTTATTTCATAAAATTCAGTATTGTTTGATAATTTCATAATGGCATGTGGTATTTTTAAAATGAAAAAAAAGAGTTTAACAGAGCAGTAACAAATTTCAGGGCTCTTAAAATAGGATAATGGAAAGAAATAGAAGGTTACACTCTGTGTTTGCTTCTGTTGTGAATCCTGAGACACATACCCATTCATCTTTTGTGACTCAGAATTTCGTGACTTAAAAGTTACTGATTTACTAGTTACATAAAAAATGGAATGGCTCAATTTACTCAGAATGGAAAATAGTTATCACAGATCACACTCTCATGGCATGGGAACTTCTTTAGGAAGTACTCAAGGAGGAATCAACTTGGAGCCCAAAATAATTATCACTGATGTCTGGGGAAAGCTGAACTAGTAGAGAGTAGATTTACTTACCTAATACCACACTGGAAGGAAATTTGCAGCTTTTAATTCAGTTTTATGACTTAGATCCTTGTACATATTGCAATGTACAAATATCAATACCAAAAATTTTATTGAATTTGCATTCATTATGTTCAACTATAAAATATTGTTAAAAGGTTATTTTTTTAATGAATATGGTTACCTCTGGGTAAATATTAGAACATTTCAGATTTTTTAAATGGCACAGCATACAAAAAATCTTACTTTGATTATTGTCTTTCAATTGAACCAATAGTAGGATATAGTAATCCAATGGGGACACTCCCCATTTGACAGCTGGTACTGACTTCTGGATGTTGATTTCTCTTAACTGAGGAAATGAAGCTTTGAGGTTTAAAAAAAAAATAAGAGAACAGCTTTATAGCACTCACATTTGCACGACAGATGAAGTGAGAGAGAGCAGTGAGTTAATAAACTGATTGCTACTCTCTGGTCTAGGAGGAATCAAGCAAACAGGAAAACCACAAAGTAAAAAGGTGTGCCTATTTGAAATTGCCAAGGGCTCACATTTTTTCCTCCTTATATTATGGAGAAGTTAAGTAGGCATATTTCTTTAAGCGGCTGTGTCTCTGATGAGGAAGAACACACAGAGCTACGCTGGTATAGGGAAGCCTTGTGCAGGGTGTGAGTAGAAGGTCCGTGGGTACCTTTGACACACCATTACATGTGGCTCTATTTCATGAATAAACCTCTTATCAAAAAAATTCACTCAATGAGACTGAAGAACCCACAACCGGTCCCCCACTCCTGTGTTTGTGGGAATGCTTCTTACAATGCAGTTTTTAACTATATGAAACAGAATGTTCCCTTAGATGTACAAACTTCCCGTTATATTGTAATGATAAGCAAAATGCTTAACTACCAAAAACTTCTCAGAAAATAAAAGCGCACTGTGACATGATTCTGTGTAAGAGGAAGAGCATTATCTCATTGATTTAAGTTCCTGCTTCCTTTTACTTATTATGACTGCATATGCTTTTTATGCTCAAATTCTATGAGTTATTTAGAAAGTGTAAATGGAAACTTAAGTCCTGAAATAAGATGGAAACTTATTTCAGAACCTATTGAATAATTTCTTAGCAACAGATCACCATGTGAGATCTATGTTAGAAGAAAGACTGTGCTTTTAATTGAGGACCTGAGACGTCACTAAAAAATAAAAATCTTCAGCGATCTTTAGGAGACTGATACTTTTAAGACACTAAAAAGCAGAAAGAAAAACAAAAACAAAATGGGGGGCCTGCAGCTCTTCCCTCTGTTAGTATCTGTTAAGGTTCTTCCAAGTCATTAAAGAACAATGATAATGGTAGATGCCCCTTTCAGGCAGATTCAATCATCTGATTTCTCTGATGGTGGAGATTTGAAGATATGTTAAATTGGTGTAAATAATAAAATGGAGTGTGAAGCAAAAGTGGAAAACTTAAGCTTCCTCTTTCTTGTTCTTGTTCTGTGAAGGGTGGAGCACTTTCAGAAGAACAGATATTGAAGTGTGTGTGCATGTTTGTGTGTGTGTTTGGGGGCTAGAATTAGTATAAAAGAGAGAAAACAAATTCTCTTGTTTTGTGATTGGCAACAGAGGGATTTTGTTCGTTTGCTCTGCTTTGTGGCCCTGAATCTCTAAGATCTCTCATCAAACAACAGAAGAGCTCATTTCTACAATTTCATTAACTAAAATTTATTATATAAGGTTCTCCAGTAGACCATGGATTATTGAGTGGATGCCATAATGTACAAATATACAAAATGATAGCTTGCATAATTTTCATAATTTTTTGATTCAGAACAGCATGCTTGTCAATATGGGAAATCACTGAGACTTCAGCTTGGTGTTAGCTAAAACAAAATGGGGATTTCTGCATAAGCAAGGTTTGTAGTGTCACACTTGGAATTACATATAGCTTTAGCCTTTAGAAATTTTAGGAGGCAATGGCAACTTTAAAGATACAAGAGACTGACAGTGGGTGGCATGTGGGCCAAATGGGTGAAGGAGTCAAAAGGTACAAACTTCCAGTTATAAAATAAATAAGTAATGGAGATGTAAAGTACAGCATGGTGAATACAGTTAATAATACTGTGTGGCATATTTGAAAGTTGCTAAGAGAGTATATCTTAAAAGTTCTCATTCTCTCCAAATTTGTAACTATGTATGGCAATGGACGTTAACTAGATCTATTGTGTCAATCATTGTGCAATACATACAAATACTGAATCATTATGTTGTACACCTGAAACTAATATAATTGCAAGTCAATTCTCAATTAAAAAAGAGATATGAGAGACTGAGAATCTCATAAGACCGTTTGGTAATTCATTTATGTATACGTATATGTATGTATATATGTATATATATATGTGTGTGTGTGTGTGTGTAGTTTTTTCATTCTCTGCAAAGTGCTATTCTAGATATTTAAGCAATAATGAGAAGAAATAATGATAAGTTGAATAAAGATCCCTGTGTGTAAGAAGCTTATAAGCTAACTGGAAAAGAAAACATAAAGAATTAGAAAGTCAAATTAGTCACATAACCAAAGTAGTATGAAGGACAATTTATTATATAATTCATTTTCAAATTAAGTGTCTAGACCAGAGGTTATCACACTTGGCTGTGCCATCAGAATTACAAGGAGAGGAGAGGGGTGTGGATTCAGAAAAGGGGGAAGAATCTGGGGAGACAAGACCTGGCATTTCATAGTTTATAAAGCTCCCCAGGTGATCCTGAGGACAACAGTGTGGCATAATTAAGGGCCATGATGGCACCATTGGTCAGATATACTTGTGCAAGGAAAGGTGACATGTAAACCAAATGGGCTTGAGTTAAATTGGATTCTCAGCAGAAACACACACTTTTTTCCATTTACACTGATGCTTAGAACACTAAAGTTAAGAAATACTCACCTAGATCATGACAGCAAGAGTCCACAATGGAGCTGAAAGGCTTCAAGGAGGGGCAGCTTGCATTTAGTTTTAAAGGGAAGATCTTTGTTGCCAAATGCAGAAGAGAAAATCTTGCCAGGAAAAAGGACAAGCATGTGTTCAGGAAAGTAAAACTGGGCTTCTTTGTGTGTGTGATGTACTGAAGGGTTGTTTGGAAAAGAGAGTTCATGCAGGGGAATGCTGGACTGCGGGGAGGATCAAATTCCCTCCTTGAGTTCTACTGTGTTTTTATTATGGAAAAATGTGAATACGAAGTCTAGAATTTTATAAATGTCAATTTAATAAACTGTTTTACTTCTGTTTACTTAAGCTACATCCAAAAACGTTAGTGCCTTCTGTTCTTCATTATGATCAACACATCTAGGATGCATTCTTGGCAGTGAATTTTTGTTTCTTTTTCATATTTCTTCTTTAAGGAGGGTTCTAGGTTCTTTAGTCAATCTTATTCAAGCCTTATAACAGAGAAAAGCCAGGATCACAATAATCTAGTGTTGATGACATAAAGTATTTTGCACTAGATGCCTTTGTTTAGAAAGCCAGAAAAAAAGAGTGAATTTCCAAGATGATTGTCAGTGTTACTCAAGACTTAATAGTTAGGGCTAATGCAACTGGAACCAAATGCCAATATTATGGTTACCTGAGTGAGTGGTTCCTGGTAAGGTCAGGTTGACGCTCCTGCAGAATTTCAAAGATGTTAGGTTGGCGCAGAAATGCAACAATCTTGTCATTGTAAGCTGAGAAAGATCAGAAAATATAACAATATTTAAAAAGTTTGTTATTAGTTTGATGTACAAATCCAAACTTTTAAAAAACTTTTTTAATATTCCTTGAACTCTGTCATAGTACATTGGAGTCACTATGATGCTTAAATTTCACTTTGTGTCTCCCTTGTTATATGAATATTGACTGGACTAAGATCTATAAGGTGTGCCTGACTTAAGCCCTCATTAAATTCACTGATGAGTCACACTTAATATCAAATTGCAAGATGGGATCACAAGATTCTAGATACTGATTATTTTAAGCTACTTCTTACCAAAATGAACCTCATAAGCCATTGTTAGAAATGGAAAGTCATCTTCTGATAAAGCTATCAGCCATCCAGAGGAGTAAAGAGGCAGAACAACAGTCACCAAAATGCAGAAGCTGTTAGCAACAGCTACTACAAAATGCAGAGGACAAACCATTCCCAAATTCTATGTGGAAATAAATGCTATTAAGGCACACATAGCTCTTTACCAAACCAATGATACCCACAGCCACAACACAATTAGCATCACCATCTATGTACACAATAAGTTAGAAGAAAAATTTATCTTATTTGGCTAAGGTTGGCTAATATCTACAGAAATTTAAATATAGTTCATTAAAATTCATTAAGGGTTCTGTTAATACCTTTTTGGTCAAGAAAATTTATTTGTTTAAAACGATCTATCTTGATTATATTCATTTATAATCATAAATATACATATTTAATATATCAGATATATAGATATACTTAATATATCTATCAGATATACACATATATTTAAATCACAGAGCTGAGTGAATTCTTAAAGATCACTCTTAATTCTTAAACATCAGTGATCCTAGTTCAGTCAACATTTTTGTGTTCATAAATATGATCAAGAAACATGCCTTACTTAAACTAGCAAATGATCTTTGTCAAAGGAAATATAATTCTCTAATCATTCGCCAGTTCAAATTTTAGCCACACCATGATGCCTATACATACATGTTTTAGTTAAATGTGGATTTTTAAAAATACTACCTGCTAACATAAAATCCCATTGACAAACTCAAAGTGTCCCTAACTACACATTTTACCATGTACAAATAATGAGACACCTTTATAATTAAAATTATGTCAATGGGTTTTGCATTATATCTACAATCAGAGACTAGAAACTTTTTGAGTAATGATTTTACAGTACTTTAAAATTCTATGTGCAGTATTTAGTATCCTACTAATAATGGTATGATAAAATGTGGACTGTTAGACTTTGACCCAAGATTTCTTCTTATCCAGTGATTGTCAAAGTTCTCCAGGCCATAGACATTATATTGCATTTAATGGTAAAATTTTTCTCAAAAAAATATATTTTGAAGTAAAATAGACAAATGGCAAGTGGCTCAAATTTTTTTCTTTTTAACACGAACAAGGTTTAATGTGAATATATAACATATATACATAATCTTGGAAAAATAAAGGCCCACTTTGTTAAACGGATAGGAGGAAATGAAGCCCCTATGAACAGCCATAGGCCTTGTGTGGGACTCGGGGAGACAGGAAGATGACAGCCTGCGAGGTGGTGTCCTGTCCATTGTGCCATCATCAGAGGTAGGGCTGGAGTTGGCAGCTGTGCTGTCCACAGCATTGTGTGGCACTGGTGGGATCAGAGACCTGGCAGACAGGCCATCCAAGTTGGCGGTGGCAGCAGGGACCTCCAAGGTGTGACTGGTCGATGGCAGGGAACCTGAAGGCTCCAGAGCAGGTGGAAAGAAGGAAGGGGCCAGCTGAGGGGCACTGCCGTCAGCCATGACTTCCATGCTGTTGTTTCTCCGACAGTCAGTGCTGTCCTCCTTGGTGCCCGGATCCTCAACAATAGCTAAGTGAGGAAGTTTAGGAGGTGGCGGCAGCTCGCCGTGGTCTCACAGCATTGGTAAATGGCAGCATCAGAGGCATGGGTATTTTCCTTTTGCAGGGCCTCTGTGAGCAGGTCCTGGTAAGGAGCTCCTTGGGGTGTCGGAGGCTCCGTGCCCTGCATCCTTTTCCCAGGTGCTGGTGGGTCTGCAGGGCTCGGCTGATGACCTTCATGTGGCACTTCCTCTGCTGACCTCCCTGGAAGCTGGCAGCAGCACCGGGTTGGGTCAGAGGGCACTGCTGCCTCTGGATGGAGCTTCTGAGGAGGCAGCACACCTCCAGACAGGTTGGAAGTGGTGCCCATGTGGTCTGCAGAAGAGGAGCTCATCTGGATGGTCTCTCTCGAGCCATCTTTTGGGAGCCTACGATGGTGCAGAGGCCCAGGACTGCTCTCCGGGGAAGTGGGAACTCTGCGGGTGTCTAGGGTCCTAGATGTGGGTGATGTACTCCCACCGCTGTGGGGGCCCCTGTCCTCATCATGCTGCCCTTCGGCTTCTGCGCCATCCTCCTCCTTTCAGAAGAACCCATCGTCGTCCCCTTTCTGGGCTCTCTTAGGACCTCTGCCCCCAGGGCGAGGAAGTGGGAGGTCACTGGCTGGCAGTGGCTGCTTAGCCTCGACTACCTGCTCAGGTGGGAGAGCACATTTTCACCCCGAAGGATCCATTTTTGTGGTTCTTGGGTGTCCCGGTATCTTGGAATTATGAGTCGAGAGCGTGGGCTTCTTTGGTGGGTCCCTCTGGTTCACAGAGGGCAGGACGCCCCCAGAGAGGAGGACACCGCCTCTGTGGCTCAATGGAAAAGTGAGCTGGTAAAGGCACAGGATCCTGGTGGAACAGCCTGTGACCAGAGCAGTCGGCAGGTGCAGGGGCTACAGGGTGCTCCCTGGCAGGACGGGGCGGTGTCCAGGATGGGAAGGACCAGCGGGCGAAGAAGGTGGGTCTGGGGACCCTGCCAAAGGTCATAGGGTATGGCCCCAACACCACCCCCAGCAGAATTCCTAGCCCCCAGGGCTGCCTACTGAAGGCTGGGGATGTTTGAAACAGCGAGTCCACCACACAGACCGTTCAGGGCTGCAGTGTCCCCATCTGTCAGAGCTCAGGCTGCCCTGTTGCCAGCTCTGCACGCCCTCAGCACCCAGAGTGTGGTGGCCAATGCTGTGCCCCTGCAGTCCCGGAGGCCAGGGCCTGCTCACAGCCCAGCGCGGAGCCGCTCAGAGGCTGCAAGGGCACGGCCCGCCCTCCCCGGGCCTTCCCAGCTTCTCTGGGAGGCCTGGAGCCAGGCATGCCTTCTCTGCCATGGCCAGCCAGGTGGCTGACTTCTGAGGAGGGACCCCGTAACTTCCCTTTCTAGCTAGCAGGCAGGTTCTTTCTTTGCTTCCCAAAAAGCATAGAACAGGGACCACCAGTTTTCAGCATAGCTACATCCCACATTCTGACTGAGCCTGACAGCCCAAATTTTTATCTTTGGTCTAGTTTTGGGCATGTGTCTGGTATATGAATAACACAGTAAACTGGAAAACACTTTTTATTTTTAAATGCATCTCCTTTACACTCTTCTTCTCAATGGTGTTGCCATTCTTGCTGTCAGCCAAGCTGGAAGCTTCAGGGGCAGCCTTGCCTCTCAGCAGTCAACCTGTCCATTCCTGATCCTGACAGTTCATCGTTTATGTTATAATCTGTGAACCTCATTTCCATGTCAGTAACCCTGCTTCTAGTTTTTTAGGTCTTTCCTGGTGAACCTAGTCCTTGCGTATTGTTTTACTGTGGAAGCACTGAAAACCTCTCTAACTGGTGAGGCAAGGGACCAGTGAGCACCCCCCCACCCCCCCGCTTTTCTAGTCTTCACCTTGATGCCAGAGGTTTTCATCTAAACCACGGGTCTAATCAGGTCACCCCACCTTCTCAAAAAATCTCCAAAGGATGTCTGACATTATTACAGAATAAAATTTGAAATTCTCCAGCTCTACTCACGGTCTGGCCTTAACTTAGTCTACATCTTCATCCCTAAGAGCCAAGCTCCCTGCTCCTTCAAAACATCTTATCTCATGCTTTTACATCTCTGTGAATTATTTCCTCTGGACTCCCACCTCTTACCTCTTGTTTTTAAGACATTTCACCCCAACAAAACATGTATTGTTGAAGACCCACCTCTCTAGTCACCTCTTCTTTGAAGCTTCCGGTGCACTATTTATTTATTTATTTTATTAAGGTATTATTAATATACACTCTTATGAAGGTTTCACATGAAAAAACAATGTGGTTACTACATTCACCCCTGTATTCATGTCTCCCCATACCCCATTGCAGTCACTGCCCATCAGTGTAGTAAGATGCCACAGAGTTACTACTTGTCTTCTCTGTGCTACACTGTCTTCCCTGTGACCCCCACACACCATGTGCACCAATCATAATACCCCTGAATCCCCTTCTCCCTCCCACCCCACCCTCCCTGCCCCTCCCCTCCCCTTTGGTAAGCACTAGTCCCTTCTTGGAGTCTGTGAGTCTGTTGCTGTTTTGTTCCTTCAGTTTTGCTTCGTTGTTATACTCCACAGATGAGGGAAATCATTTGGTACTTGTCTTTCTCCACCTCGCTTATTTCTCTGAGCATAATATCCTCCAACTCCATCCATGTTGTTGCAAATTGTAGAATTTGTTTTTTTCTTATGGGTGATAGTATTCCATTGTGTATGTGTACCACATCTTCTTTATCCATTCATCAACTGATGGACACTTAGGTTGCTTCCATATCTTAGCTATTGTAAATAGTGCAGCGATAAACATAGGAGTGCATCTGTCTTTTTGAATCTTAGAAATTATATTCTTTGGGTAAATCCCTAGGAGTGGAATTCCTGGGTCAATGGTATTACTATTTTCAGTTTTTTGAGGAACCTCCATATTGCTTTTCACAATGGTTGAACTAGCTTACATTCCCACCAGCAGTGTAGGAAGGTTCCCCTTTCTTGGCATCCTCACCAGCATTTGTTGTTCTTAGTCTTTTTGATACTGGCCATCCTAATTGGTGTAAGGTGATATCTCATTGTGGTTTTTATTTGTATTTCCCTGATAATTAGTGATGTGGAACATGAATTTCTTCTTAGGAGAACTGACTGTTCATATCCTTCGCCCATTTGTTAATCGGGTTATTTGCTTTTTGGGTGTTGAGGCATGTGAGTTCTTTATATATTTTGGATGTTAACCCACTGTCGGATATGTTGTCTGCAAATATGTTCTCCCATACTGTAGGATGCCTTTTCGTTCTGTCGATGGTGTCCTTTGCTGTACAGAAGCTTTTAAGTTTGTTGTGGTCCCATATGTTCAAGAATGGCTCAAATTTAAGATGGAGCAGGGCATCCATATGGGCTCCCGCCAGCCTGTCCATTCTATGAGCCTTAGGGGCTCCAGGTTGAAAACCAATTTACTTTACCCTCATCATGTGAATAACAACTCAGGTTGTTCTTTAGGTCTGTTTATGCAAATCCATTTATTTTTATTTTACAATTTTGGAGGATCTTGCTACCTCATATTTGCTACAAAAACCCTTAAGAATTTGCCATTTTTGCTTTCTTTTTTTGTGAGGCTGTTACAGGCTTACACACCACTTAAATTCTGTCCTAGGTATTACATATATACTCAGTATTTGCCTGTCCAAATGCTTAATTTGAAATGACCACATAATACAGTTGCCTTATATTATTTTTCCTTAACTACAACATCCAATACAATAGCTCTACTTAGAAAAGGAAGAGGAGCATAAAAATCTCAATTTATAGGATTTTATAAGACATAAGTGCATTGAGACAAATAAATGTATTAGGGATAATGCAACAGGGCAAACGTAGCAGGCTGACGATAGGGAAGTATCAGCACAGAATGCTAGGTACACACTGCTATGGAAAGTAAAGATAAAGGTTTCTGAAAAGGGATGATGACATACCCACTGGAACCGTGTCCTGGTACTGTGGCCGACTGACTGTATTGAATGTGCTGGAAGGCCTGGGGAGAACTGGTGGTCCTGCATGTCGAGAATCTTCTCCTACCTGCAAACACAAGCATTGTTAATGCTCCACACCAAGACAGAGTCTGCTTTAAATCAGCACGCTAAGCCACATTGTCCAAAATACTTGACAACGAGCATTAACTACCAACTGATCAGAACAGAAGTCAGCTGAGGAGCTGACACAGGATTCTCAAAAGTGCTGTTTTAGTTGCTGAATGGAGGGGAGGCATAGGTGCATCCATGTTCTTGAAAGGGGGCAGGGCAGTGACTATTTACCAAGTGGTACAGGAATATTTTCATTTGCTTGTAATTATTGGAACTGTAGAAGCTTAACAGCACACCTGTTCATCAAGAATCACTTCTGCCTTGATGGAACACAGACGTGTAACAATGCAATCAGACAGAAGACCTGGGGGCACAAAATATGTCAGGGCAGCTCCAGGATATATCTTCTTTTGGCCAAGGCAGGTCAGGGAATTCCCTGCCTCAGCAGAGGAAGGACTGAAGAGGAACAGTCTTAGTGTCGGTTTCTGAGTGGCTGTATTATCACCTCAGAAGCATTTTGACATGCCTATTAGAGCACCCAGTCCAACAGCAAGTTCTGGTTTGAACCTCCCACACCAGCGAGCTTATCATGGCAGATGTGGAAGAGCTAAATAGGGTTGCCCTAATCTGAATTATTTATTGTACCTATTATAGATCTAAAAACTCATACATGCAAGTAGATAAACAAAAATATCCATTAATATTCTTACCAGAAAATTCTAACATTGCTTTAGCTTCTGTTTAGCTTCTCCCACTATATTACTGAAGTCTTTTAAGTTAACAGTAGAATAAGAGTATAAGACAGTAAGAGAACAAAAAGTAAAATTACACACTGGATTTATAAATTCCATAGATAGGACCTTTACCTCCACCCATTCAAATCTGCACAACCATTTCATCATATTGCATCAGTTAGGTGTCTGGTGAGGGTCTCTGTAAAGGCCCTAAAACTAGCAATATCATCCCCATCCCCCACTGTTTCCTTATCCTTCAGGAATGCTTTCACTCATTCTGCAAAGCACAGGTCAAACAGCCCCTCCTCAATGAAGCCTTCCCTCACCTTCAAGCTGATGTTAAACATAACCTTCTCTGAGCTCCTGCAGCACTTTTTGTATATTTCTAAAGCAGCTGCCATTATTAACAGCTGATCAAGCATTTTACTTTCATATTTCTATTCCTCTCCTTATATATATTGATATATATGTTATTTACTTGTATCCCTCACAAAGATATATGTTGTTTACTTGTATCCCTCACACCAGTCATCATGTTTCTGCACTACAGGAGTTTGGTAAGTATTCATCTGTTGGATGGAAGAGATACCAATATTACTACTACCTGGAATATTTGCTAACTGAGTATAAGAGAGTGGATGGAAAGACTTGTTGGTGGAATTAGAAGTTTCTCACTCTGCTTCTCTTGAGTTACTGGCTTTGAGGAAAGAAGTCAGCCACCTTTGGGGAAGATTCAAACATTACACTTTATTTGTCAATCACAGAACTTGTAATTTCAGTACAGCAACATATACTGTCCCTCCCGTCAGTATGTTGCCATGTGTCATCATTACCCAGAAAAGCCAAAGATCTCTTTGACACCCCACATCCTCAGACCAGACTGTCAGACAGTGGGCAAGTCCTGATAGATGTGCATAGCACTGTAGGATATGCATGCTTCTGACAGCTGTGCAGGAAAGTACATTCCCCACAAAGGTTCACACTGTTGGGGTTGAATGGGGTTATCTCTGTTCCACTGTTCAGTTTCCATCAACACAAACAGAAATCTTCATTCAAATTTTAATGTGTACCTTAGGATCCCTCTTCCACAACAGGCTACTACTAAACTGGGAATATAATTCAAGTTCTGAGATAGTGGGGTTGAAAGAAAATATAAGTATAGCTATTAATCTCATGCATGTAATACTGACCAGCTTGAACAGTCAGCTTCATATTGGGAAGTGGAGATAAGGCAAGGGGCTGAAATACACTGGCCATGTGATCGTCAGACACAGCCCTAATGCTATCTATCACATACAAGTCCGAAGGGGAGAAGTCTGTTCTGCTTTTCAGATGAATGCTGCTAGTATCATCCAGTTTACTATGAATGTTTTATATGACACCATGGTAAAGATTTATTAGCTACTCATAAAACAAATATTTTTGTGTATACTTCATCCTGCAATAGGTTTATATACCATTTTTATATGAGCTTATGTACACTCGTCTATGTTTACACTTAACAACCAGCAAATACACAAAGCATTAAAGTATGTAAATTACAAAGGGAAATTCCAAGAGTGGAATTTTGATGAATTAAATTCAGTTATTTATCACATTCATAATTTTTTTCTTGTAAAAGAGGCTACAAAAATATTTGACCTACAATATAATGCTGAATATATAATAGGCACATAGATGTGGAAAAGGCATGCTGGAAAAGAATTTTAATTCTATTTGTCTAAGGGAATTTTTAGAAACAATGTATATCAAGTGGTGATATATGTTTAAAGCATAAGCCCATATTAAAGAGAAAAAATGTAAGCAAAAACATTCCTTTCATTTAAGCTGCTAAAGAAAAAGGGAAACAGGAACATTTCTTTTTTCTTTTCTTCCTTTCTTTCTTTTTTGGTTAGGCTATTAGAGAGCCCTCATGTGGTTACCATGGGTCACTGCAAACTAGCAAAGTTGAGCCCAGTAGATCTTCCACAATTCCTAATTCCGCCATTGCCTCTGGGAACCGAGAGTCTCTATCAACTTTCAGGTATATTCTAATTTTAAAGAATATTAGTGAGGACACCACAAAGATTGGCCAAAGATTTTAATCTGATCCAGCAACCCTCCTTTAAACAATTCCCCTGTATTTATGTGAAATTTAGCTCACTAAATTACTTTCATTTCTTCCTGGGAAGCAGCCTTCAGGCGTGGAGAAGGCTCACCGTCTTCCTCTCTTGAACATCTTATTACATTATGAATTCTTTCTCATCATTATTTGAGTCAAAAAAAATTCTCTAATTTCTTCAATCTTTCCTCATATTATCCTGTTTTTAAAATTTGTTATTTAAGCTGTCTGCATTTCCAGAGAAGCCCTGTCAACATTCCAATACTTCTCAGCCTCTAAGGATAGTCTCTGAATCAAACTGGAAAAACAGAACAATGAGAAATCAGTACAGCCTCACGCACCGCCCCATCCTCGTAGCTCTGTCAGCCCGTAGTCAGTGTCCAGGGCCCGGGACTCACCTCGCCTGCACTGTGGCTGCGCTGCCTCGTCAGGTGTTGCCGATGAACCAGCGCGCTTGTGGGTCGGCTACTCTGCAGGGGGAGCCGGGGATCGATGAAAGTGGTGGTACGGGAGTTGTGGTCGACAAAAAAGGCCTAGGAAACAATACATGCAATCAATAGATGATACACACCATGTACATGTTTCAGCTGACCTATTGTTTCACACATTCAGGAAAAGACCCACTTTTGAGTAATGATCTTAGCTCCCTTTTCTCATAAATTTAGATATTTGGGGGAATTTCTCCTTACCCTCTCAGGACAGACCAATATAGAGAAAGCCATGCTTAGATTGGATCCAGAATAAAGAGATCAGGGGGAAGGAACACTATTCCTGGTTTTAGGAAAGACTCTAAGAAATAGTCATCAAAGATATGAACCTAGAAAGAAGCCACAAGACTAGACATTTTGACTTCTCTTCACCGATGGTCTTCAAGCCCTTACTGCTATCCATGGCGATCACGAAGTTCTCATCACCTAAAACTTCAAACATCACTGACTTCTCTTTTCCTTCTCATCTGCGGTAGGCCACCACGTCCTCCCCGTTTCCCACTGTAGTGCTTCCTCTATCTCAGTCCCAGCCTGACTGCCATCTCATTATTTCAGCGCTCTCTCTTACACATAGAAATATGAATAGTTTCTCAGTTGTTCACACCTCCACAAGCTCATTACTTTAGCTGGCATCTCACTACCAGAATATGCTTTTTAAAAGCTTTGACTGCATCAATGCTTTGATCCCGAACCCCTCCTGGCTACCCATTACCTAAAGAAAAAGCATTCCAATTCATTGGTCAGTTTTCCAAGACTTAGAATCTCCTTTTCCTACTTGCCTTTCCACTTTAATCATTAACATTATATTCATACAAATTCTATCATATACAGTGACTCTGGGCAAGCCACTTAAGTTCTCTGAGCTGCAGACTTCTGATAAAAACATGTCACCCTCATTCCTAATAAACATTTCTCCTCCAAAATGTGATAGGAGGAAAGAAACCAAATATATCATGTTTACTGTAGAATCCCTGGTGACATGAAATCATGAATGAGCATAAGCCATTTCCCACAGTGAAGCAGTAATGACTGCATACTATGATATAGAAAAGACTTCATAAACTCTTTTTAATTCTAAAGCTCTACACAAATGCTATTTATCATTATCATTAGGAGCCAAATGATACAAGCCTTCACAATAAAATTCACTCAAGGCAATAATGAAGCCCATTATCTCAAGGAAAATAAGAAACTGTAAGTTTTCCATGACCAGATAAAGCTAATTAGGTCATCAAAGACAAAAGGGACTATTAGGAGAGCCAGGAGAGACTCATTACCTGTAAATCAAGTGTCAGGGCACATGATACAAGCCAAATAACCTAAGCAAAAAAGAGCTGACTTCTCAAACTGATGGAGCTCAGTTAACAAAGGACCTTAAAGACTAGGAATGAACACACCTAGGCTAATCTCAGGGGCAGATGGTGTATTTATACCTACAAAAAAAAAATCACCTTCTCATTATGAAACAGAATGTTTCTGTTTATACCTAATCAGAAAACAGAGCAAAATAATTTGTAAGTAGCTCCCAAATGGGGGAAAAAAATGACTTATTTGTAAAGAAGTAACTTTAAGCAGTAGATGGACTGGAAAACAACAAAGAAATGTGCAAAATGAGAATCCTGGCCACCCTTTCTCTCAACATCCAACGTCCAGGTACAAAGAATGAATTAAATGAATGGTTGCAGGAGATGCTGCCATCAACCTCACATCCCTAGGTAATGCTCTCTTTTTCCTAACCTGTCAGATGGAACATCTTTCTTCTCTGATCTTGTAAAAAATGTACACCAGTGATAAACCCTACATGGGATTGAATGAGCAGGCTCTGGTCCCAAATATCACACTGGTTCCCACTTGATTTGGGTCCTTATACACTTGTATATAGTTTCTGCCACTATTCAAAATGTCATAAAATAGGAATGAATTATACTTACAAATGGATGTTTCAAAATAACAGATATTATAATCAAACCCATATCTTCTTTACTTAAATTATGGTTAAGATTTTAGCACCAAAACAATAATATAGGCCATGTTCTTTAAGGCAAAAATACCAAGAGTACTAAAATAGAATTCCCTATTTACGTAATTTCTGAGGAATGTTTTAAAGGGACAGGTGGCCATTAGAGGCAGCAGTGATGCACTTGTAATTGTAAGTATGGGTGTGTTCATCTAGGTCAGCTGTGATTTACATGTAGTGTCACAGTATAATTTGATGTTAAGAGGCTTGTCTAATATCAGTTCTCTAAAGAATTATACTATAAATTCCTTGAGAGTACGGACTCTTTCTTACCCTGTTGTCCCCAGTAGCTTTTAGGGCTACACCTGGGTGAGAGGATACTCAGTAAATCATAAATTGCCAAAAACTCTAATATACTAATATCCAACCAAATATACAAGGAAAAACCACAATGATCAATCAGGTATTAAAAGTTACATTCTTTTATGTAGGTGTAGAAGTACAAAGATTTGAAAAAATAAATGGTGTGTGTGTGTGTGTCCAAGTGCATGTGTGCACACGTGCTGGATGAAAGATACAGAGAGCTAAAGACTATAAACTACTAACAGAAGAGAATGTTTGTAATATCCCATTGTAGATATGAACCTACTTAAAACTTCAAAGTGGGATAAAGTAATTGGGAACTAGAAAAAGACAAGCCTGGTTCTGAGCTCTAGCTCCAGCACCTATTAGAGATGCAATCTTGGGTAGACTAATGTTTTAAACCACAATTTATTTTCTGTAAAATGAGGATAAAAACATCTACATCAAAGGAAGCTTAAATGAAATGGTTCACATCAATTTTTGAACATAGTGACTTTTTTAATGTGACTTACTATTATTGCTAATAATTACAATGTTAACATCTAAGACTTTTTCAGAGAATCACAGTGTTTCTTGCTACATATACATAGCTCAAAATAATAGAGAACCAGTAAAACTACACTGCCCAGGCTCTTTGCTGGTATGTGTAGCCTAGACTAAGTTCTGGCCAATGATACATAAACAGAGTATTACATGGACGTTCTGGGAAACCCTCATATAAGGAAATTTTTACATTAATCTCTTCTGTCCTTCATCTATTCTGTTCTCTGAAACAAGGATGTAATTGGTGGAACTCCAGCAGCCATACTGAACCATGAATATGAAGGATGGCTGAGTAAAAAACTGCAAGGAGTCAGGGCTCTCACAATTTGAGCAACCATCTTAAAAGCCCAAGACTGTCTACCTCTAGACTTCTTCATGTGAGAAAATGAAATTTCATACATTAAACTTTGTGTGGGTCTTTGTCACGATGCAGCCAAACCAAATCCTAACTGATACACTGCAGTCTCAGTGCTACAGAGGAAACATGGTCTAAAACTAAAAGCACAGAAGAACACAAGCCAGTAACCACCATTATTATTAAGTAAAAAGTAGAGTTGGGAAACTATAAAGCTGGGATTTGAACCCATCTTTCTGTTTGACTCCAAAGCCCAATGAGCAGTACCTTTTCCCCCTTTCTCTTTCTGTATATCGTCTCTCTTTTTCTATTTTGCTTTCTGCCTCCTACATTTTCAAGTTCTTCCCACTCCTCTCACTTTCATAGTCCTAAACTTTGCAGAAGCATTTATGTATTTATTGAATTAAGTTGACAAAAACAGTCACTCACAGTGCTGAGCCTCACTGTTTCAACATTAAAATGGCTGCTACTGATGCCTGACAGCAAACCATTCATACTCTGCACAACTGGCATCACTAACCTGTTGGACGTATGGCTATGGGTGGGGAAGAGATGCTACTTGTATCCCACAAGGGCCTCACTTTCAGATCAAATGGAATGTGTATATTGCTTACACATGCTTTTTTAAGTGTGCTAAGTACTTGGGGAAGAAGATCTCAATGAAGACCTCATCAAAAGCACTAGAGAACTACAGAATGGAGTACAAAGATGTGACTGGCAGGTGTTTTGGCTCCACTCTGCCCCTTGTGTAGCCATGACCAGGTGTCCTTCGTGCTTTGCTTTATCCATGTAAAGAAGATTATTCAGGTCACAGGTGAGTTGAGAAAAACGCATTCTACTTTAAAATGGAGAGGAAAGTATAGAAGAATAACTGTGCAAACTTTAGGCTTGCCATTCCTATTTGCAATGCACAAATCAATTATGTCAGAAAAGTGGATCACTTTCCCACAGGATATCCTAACTAGTTCAAGCCAGTAATGAAGTTGGCCTGGTACTGTTTGTTTTTTTTTTCTGTATTTGGGTCACTTTTTATGTCACCATTCTTGAATAGCCTGCCTTCATTTATGAACATATCTAAAATGTACTACAAATATTGTTGGGTTAAGCAGTGTGTGAGGATGTAAAGTACACAAGAAAAGCACTGGTATCAAAAAATGAGTCTTTTTCAGATTAGCTACTAGCAAAGCAAATTTTGAGCAACATAGATTCCCTACTGTTAAGTTTCATTAAAGAAATTCACTCAAGCTTCACAGTGCTGGACCAACTAAGACTAACAACACAGTCAAAAACTGAAAGGAATGCAAATACACAAACTCATATCTCATTTTAAAAACTTCTACCCTTTCACTGCTTCAGGGCATGGTCAGAGGCAGGAAATAGGGACGGGTTGGAGTCAAGTGGTATTTTAGTGAGGCCAAACAAAACACACTTCTCTATTTACACAATTCTTTCTTTTTTTAAAGCTTCTATTATTTTAAGAAAAGAAAAAGCCATCAGCATTTGGGAAGAAATGCCAATCTCAAGCTCAACAAATCTAAGTTACAGAAGTTTGAAATTGTTTCCAGTTAACATTCTGCCAAACCAGGAATCCATATTAAAAGACCATGTAAACAAAATAAAACAAAAAGCACTTGTAACTATGCTACAGAAAGATAGGACATAAGATCTTCTATTTTTCTTTCTCTAAAAAGTTATGGAAACTAGAGGCAGTTTAAGATGGCAGTGTAGGAAGATCACCTCCCCTCCCCCGTCCCATCACAAATCTATGGCTACGTACAGAACAATTCCCTCTGAAAAGAATGTAAGAACTAGCTGAACAACTGCACA